CCCCAAAACCCCAAAACCCCAAAACCCCTTTATTCTACTGAATTCAAAATTAAGGGTAAATTAACATATAGATTAAGAATTAAAGTGAGCGATCAATCGAATGATTTAATCTTGACATATTTAGACAGTTATCAATAACTCATTCCAGGGAGTATTCCTCCCATTTAGCTTTGTTAAGATCTGGGTGGACCGTTAAGCATTTGACTTCCAGCAGTTCTGATTGGGTTGTACTTCTCGTGATGAGGGACCTGTATCATGCTTCTGTTCTCTCCAGTGAGAATGTTGAATACAGAATTGTTCTTCTGCTCTAGATTCTTACTTCTCATAAGAGCTCTGACTCTGGCATCATTGTCTACTTGCATCAACTTCTGTCCATCTCTGTTTTGCTCATAGTCTTGGTTCACGATGTTATAGGCAGCGCCACCCTTGTTCTTTTTGCCTGCCTAGAATACCTCTGCTTTGACAGTGATTCGAGTCTTTTCGTATTCTTCTTTGGTCTCCATACGGTCCCAGCGCAGAGACTCTTTTTGAAACCTCTCCTGTCTCAAATTATTGAGTTTCGACAACTTCACATCATAGTTCTACTCTCTGACTTACTTGTCAATCACAGCAAAATCCTTATCAAATCTATCAGCCTCTATATATTTATTGTTAAGGTAATGCTTGGAACCGAAGAGAAAAATAGTTTATATTTGAATAATTGATTACCATTTACGAAAAATGTCGAGGTGGGATCAGGTTTATTTAAATTAGCTGCATCTACATACTTGTGGAATCCACCTACTCTCTCCTTCAAACGCTTAACCTCAATCTGTTCCTTATCTTTCATTGCAGCCTATTCTTAATTGTAAGGTACTATAGCTAGATGGGATGCTTACTCTTTCCTCTCTAGTTCTGGGCTGAATGCTGTTGAATTAAACTTGTTCCATTTCTAAATATTTATTTATCAAGACTATATTTTGTTTTAATGCTTATGAAATAAACTTATTATATTAAGATCAATCAATTGGCTTCATTATTCTAAAGTAGCCGTATCAGAATATTTCATCCTCTAAATCAATAATTAAAACAATGAATTCCTCAGAAGTTGTTAATTGCCTTTGGCTTAAGAAAGTTTCCCGCTGATGTCTGCTTGAATAAGAAGATATCTTCGTTTACATTCTTAAGTACATTGGAGAGGTAATTGGCTTCAAATGTCTGTTTAAGCTTCTATATTGTTTTATTGCGTTCTTGTCTCTACAAATACTTCAAAGTAGCTCTTTTCTAGAGCTCTAGCATCATATCCTAATCCTGGTTGAACTTTATAGTAGGACTCTTAAACAATGGGATGTGGCCTCCATTGGACCCTCCATTCTTCCGAATAGATTCATCCTTAAGTCTCTGCCTCGATTTAGAACTTAGGTTATTGTTCAATTTCTCCTTAATAGCATGATAGTAATTGCTGTGTGGGTTGTGAATCAAATTTGAATTGGTAAGAGATCTCAATGTCCAAGATTTCTTAAACTTCTCATCCTTGCCAGTGTGATATAGAGGGAATTGTGTTGGTCTTAGTTATTCCTAAATCAATTCAAAGTCTTTGTCTAGATCTCTTGCTGTTTCACTTGCTTTTTTAAGTATGACCGTTTTATAATTTTCATTTCCAAGTTTTTCCTTCAGATAGTTCTTACTAAACTTCCTCTCACTCAGAGTCTGATTAATTATTCTTACTTTTTCTGATCCATCTCTTATTATGTTCATGTTATGATTTAGAAAGTTAGTCTTTTTTTTCTTTTAATTTTCATCCATAAGCCCCAACTTCAACTACTTCAAGTAAAACTTGTTCCCTTGAGATTGCTATTTGAGAATGTCCTAGTATATAGCTCTCTTTTTCTTATTGTAGCCATACTCAATGTAAATATCCTCGATGTTTCTTTGGTTGATATCTAATGCCCCTCCTGAAAAGTTGGAATTTGTATTGTTTCCATAGTATGCCCTCATGTGAGTATTGCTCTTTCTACCAGGACTTGCTCCTCGAGCAGTTTAGCTTCTCATTTGGGATTATCTGCGACTTGGTGAATATGATCTATCCTTCTAATTTGACTTACTTCGATACCCCTCAGAATCCTCGATCAAATCTGGATTAAGAGTAATCTTCTTCTAGGTCATTATTTTATCGAAAAGTACTTTCCAATTCATTGGCTAACCACCACCTCCGCCTCCTTAACTATTAGTGTTGCTTCCATCTGCACCCCCTCCATCTACTACTCTGTCAATGCTTTTATTCTGAGCGAAAATAGAGTCTAGCTAGTTGGATTAATCCCTGTTTACATTTTATAGATAGCTCTCAATCATGTCTTTGAATTCTAATTTCGGCAGATTTACAGGAGCTGACTTAGCTTTTTACTGTGATTGCTATTGATTTTCCATTAACTTTATATCTGAATTTCAGTTAAGTATAATTCAATTTTTCGTCATGGGGTTTTGGGGTTTTGGGGTTTTGGGG